AACCCTGAAACAACCTCTGGGCTGATGTAAGTCAGGGCATGACTAACTCACAGATTGAACCCTGAAACAACCTCTGGGCTAATCTAAGTCAGGGCATGRCTAACTCACAGATTGAACCCTGAAAYAACCTCTGGTCTGATCTAAGTCAGGGCATGACTAACTCACAGATCGAACCCTGAAACAACCTCWGGGCKRATCTAAGTCAGGGCATGGCTAACTCACAGATCGAACCCTGAAACAACCTCTGGGCTGATGTAAGTCAGGGCACGGCTAACCGGCTCACAGATCGAACCCTGAAACAACCTCTGGGCTGATCTAAGTCAGGGCACGGCTAACTCACAGATCGAATTTTAAATTATGATTATTTTAGCGAGTTAGGTTTTTAGGGGGAGAAAACTGGTAAATACCTGGAGAAAAAAATTCAACTCACACCCGGGACCCCAGAGGTAGAGGCAAGTGCACGCACTACGATGGCAACAATACAATAACATATGGTAACAACAGGAACCAGAGCAGCAACAGCAGATGTATCAGAAGCAATAATCAGTTTAGTATGTGTCGACTGCAACAATAACAATGCAGCAATAACAAGTAAAAATAGATTGATAAATAATGAAAGAATTAGTGTACAACACATACACGTTACTTGTTGTCTTATATACATTTATGGCAAATTAGTTTTCTTATTATCTTTTATATTTTGATCTTTTCTTCGTCCTAGATATGTAAGAAGGAAGGTCAAGATCTCAAGCCTTTGGCGTATTATAACGATAACGTGGAGTTTATCGCAAGACCGACAGGCTTTGTTATGCGAATTAAAGAACAGTCAGGCGACTCTGTGAAAGCTGTTATCAGTTTTGAGTGTTTATCAACCGATGACATCAGCTTGACGTCTGTGCTGGAGGAGGATAATGTATTGTATATCAGAAGATAATTCTCTCCCTCTTTTTTAAAAATTATTTGTTTTAGTTTTGAAATATGTTAACTGCTGTGTCAGAATAGGTTCCAATACAAAAGGAAGGAAGGAAGGAAG